TTTCGGGGGAAAGCTGTTGGCCGTGCTGGGGCTGGTTGATTCTGCCCCGGGAAAGAATCAGCGAGCGGCGAGCACTTTGAACATCTCTCAAGGCGTTGATGCCCTTTGACAAGTTGGGTTGCATCCCCATGTGTGGAACGACAGGCCAACCAACCCAAAAGTACCACTGGCTCACATAGCCAGATGGTTCATTTTGGTGGCTTATCGTCAAAAAGACTCCAGAGCTGGATTCCCGGCGGCTGGATATGGCTGAATCATTCCCTTCATAGACCGCTACGTTTTGTTTGACCAAACGGCGCATCGGTTGGCGCATGGGAGAACTCCAATGGATCCCGGCAGGACACCATCCAAGAAGAATGGCAGTCCATCTTTAATGGACCAGTGGAGCCAGTGCAGCTCTCAGCCGCTGCAGGAGTCTTTACGCAGAGATGAAGTGAGTGTGCGTGTGTGTCTGTGTGGCACCGTACACGGATGCACGCGCATTGTACCATAGTGTTGAGCACATTTGGACATTCCATTGTGTTTGGGGCAACTGCATTTTTTAAGCACTTGTTTTATTCCATTTCATTAAGATGTTGTTTCCGACTGATGATTTTGAAGATAAGCTATCACTACTGGAACTCTTTTGTATTCCAGGGGACTTCAGCAAAGGGTTGCCAGCCGCTGACCACCACATTCCCCAGGCCAAGCATCCAACAAACTTCGATGTTTGCCCGGCAGCTAACACGCGCCGAGGACACGACGGTGGTGCACTTGAGCTATCAGGTTGGCAAGGACACTTTGTCGAACGCCCAGGTTACCCTGACTTGGTGGTTTGGGGAATTGAGCCCCTGCTTCCCCCCTCCCAACCACCAAACCGCCAATTAGAGGGAAGCTGATTTGTAAGTTGGAGAAAGATGCCCCTGCTTTTGTTTGGAGGCTGCCCCACGATGGGGGGAGGGGCAGTTTTTCTGTTGGCCGCAGAGCCCTGCAGGTCGCTACATCCATATACATCCATCCATCCATCCATCCATCCATCCATCCATCCACCCAGCCACCCACCCAGCCAGCCAGCCAGCCAGCCAGCCAGCCAGCCAGCCAGCCAGCCAGCCAGCCAGCCAGCCAGCCAGCCAGCCACCACCCACCCACCCACCACCCACCCACCCACCCACCCACCCACACCCCCCACCACCCACCCACCCACCCACCCACCCACCATCCATCCATCCATCCATCCATCCATCCATCCATCCATCCATCATCCATCCATCCATCCATCCATCCATCCATCCATCCATCCATCCATCCATCCATCCATCCATCCATCCATCCATCCATCCATCCTGAGAGTGTTGTGCTTTTCTGACTGGCAATCTTTGGAGAGTCTGCAGCAGCTCTGAGGTCCATGGATTTTTGATTGCCCCTTGGTGAACTGCTAGCCGTACTTTGTTGACAAGGAAGCATCATGAGCCTCTTTGCAAAGAGCGTCAAACGGGTGTTCCTGGCGCTGGGTGATGTTCCAGGAGTTTGAACCTTCAAGCCAAATAAGACCCAGGCCTCGTATACATAATGATATTCTCACTTCCCCAGATTCTCAAGTTGGTTCAAACTTTGGCTACTACGATCAGGAACCGATTCTTCAGGTTGATGTTGGAGTGAAATTGTTTGTGCGTGTGTTTGTGTGTGTCTTGCGTGTTATTTCAATTGTCGGTAGAGGACCAATGGTGCACCAGAGTGAAGTCGGACGAAGGGAGCAAGTCCTACAAGGAAGGCTGCATCTACGAAGGAGTGCATGGGCCGGGCCGGGGTGAGGCATGGGCATCTAGCATGTTTCAATGTTTGCTTCGGGGAGCAGGATGTGGCAACTACAACCACTGCACCTGGAAGATCCAGCAACCTAGATGAAGGAGCTGGGATAGCAGTTCAAGAATGAAGTACACTTCTGTGAGGGGCATTCGTCGGTGATTGTGAACCTGTTTGACATGCGGTTGTCATTGGCTCCAAGTGTATTTTCCGGCAGTACACCTTAGCAGCAACGGCGGTCAAGGCATATCCTGAATAACGGCACATACAGGTTATGTTTGCGTGAGTTCCAGTTCTCTGACCGATGAGCTGCTTACGACCGGCCTTTGCACTAGTTGAGCAAATGCTGATTCGATACGACAGTCGGCCACACTTTGACTCCCTTGAAAGTAAACCTGCAACTTGCAAACAGTTCGCCCAGATTCACCATTTGCTTCAAGCCACTTCAAGCTGAATTGAATTCAGCTTGAATCCGCGCATATGCCAGGCTGGAACTCAGCCTTCGCCGTCCAGACCAAGGACCGCAGTCCGAGCCTGGAGAGACGAAGCGCGTCCGACCTCCAGCAGAGGTCCTTGTATGTTCCTTTGTTTCGGCTGTTGGTGTTTTGCTGGTTCCGTGTCACGGGTTGCCTGCACTTCCCATTCTGTATAGCGCGATTGAATCGCGGAAGCAAGCCCGGCCATTGGCGCACTTCGTCGGCTGGCCCTTTCCTCTTGTGTGCCCAAGATCCTCAGATTTGTGGGCTATGGTGCAAGAAGGAAGACGCACCTATCAAGATAAAGTTGTGTGATCATTATTTCAGATTGTAGAAGCAGCTATCATTGCTACGTAAGCCTAGTCATGTTGTCTGGGTCCTTGCTGGTGACCGCGAATTGGAGCTCAGCATCCCATCCAATCTAAGTATGGGCTTATTAGCCAACAACTTTGCGAAAGCATTCTGTTGCCTTAAGGCGTGACCGTCAATCTGCAGCATATGAATGTGAGTTGGCGGCAATTCCTTGGTTTGACGTGTTTGATTGTGCCTCAACGTTTGTGGTATTGACATTGGCTCGCTTGCTTGTCTCGGTTTGCCTGGGCGGCGAAACATCCATAGATAGAGCAATTCCGGAAATCAACCGTGTCGGGGATGGACAATGTGTTGGGACAAGAACCCTTATCTATTATATATATATATATGTATATATATATATTATATAAGAACACACACTTACTATACTAAGCGATTGATGCCCCATGGCTGTGTTCGTTTCCCCCCACCCCCTCCACCCCCCACCCCCAACCGCCCTTTCGCCAGCGCGTGTCTCGTTGGCAGGACGCCCAGCTGGCGAAGCTGGAGAAGATCAAGGCCTTCTCCAGGCACTTCCAGGTGGATTCCCGCGCGGCCCCTCAGCCCGCGCAGCCCGCGCAGCCCGCGTTCGCATGCGTGCCCGAAGAGAGACGTGGGAGCGGACCAAGGGACTTTTGGGTTGTGACCACGTGATTGAAGGCTTTTTTTGTTGGAGGTTCCTTGTTCCAGGTTGGTGAATTGTTATTATTTGCCCGGAAGAAATGAGGTTGGCCAGGGTTCACTTGTTGATTTGAGTCACAGGATATAATCCTTGAGCCCTTTGATTTGACCTGGAGGATTTGCAAGACCGCAGCAATTGCCAAAAAGTCTAGAGGAATGCAGAGGGCAACGGGAACACACATCCCAAGAAGGCCGTCTCTCCGAAGGCAACAAGTCCATGGTGAAGCCTGGAGATAGGCATGTGTCAAATTGAACTCTAAGGACCCTCCCGCTGGTATGGCAGTGCGGTGATCCCATTTGTTTGTCCCAATGAAACAGATCAGCCAGTGTATGTCCAGGGGTCTGAGGGTGGGGCGGGAGGTTTCCTTGCGCACTTATTAGATCTCGCAGGTCCATAGCTTCTTCGTGCCTGCGGTTCCTACATGGGGTCCAACAAGTTACCCGAAGCTCGTTCAGCGAACCCCCAAGTCGGGCTACAACAGCAATGAGAAACATATGTCAGCAAGTGTGACTATCAACAACTGGCCGACTTTTGGTGTGGCTCGCTCGCAATTGAAGAATTGAAGTGCTTCTGTGAGTTCCCTAGATATTGCTCGGGGACAAATGCAAAAAGGAATGTAAGAGGCAACAGGAATTGGATCTTGAACCGCAGGGCTAGGCGGATTCATCCCTCCAGGATCCCAACACTTACTGTAGTTTATGTTGCATGGATATTGTAGCTTTACTTTGAAATGTCAACAATATGTCAACGGTGGCACGCTTTTCGCGGACAGCTGAAAGACGGCTCACAACTCAGCTTCTGCTCCCAGGTCGGACGAGCGTGTGGTGCATCAATGCTGGGACCTCGAAAACGAATATGAGTCGCTGATGGGGGCCTTTGTGTGTTGTGGCTAGAGCACGCGCTTGCACAAGAAGTATGTGAGATATCGTTAAGCGTGAATGGGAAGTGTGATCGTGATACCACTGATAATAGGACAACTATCAAGTGTGTATTTGCGCTTTCCTTACTTTGCACATTTGGAAAGGACGTGATAGTGCATGGGAAGCAGAGTGGGAAACAGACAGCTTATGAGGCCTTTATTTTCCACCAAGTCAGCAAGGATGGACTTTGTGCCTTATATTTGGGGAGCCCGCAAGGGAACAAGTAGACATTCGGTGGCAAGGACAAGCTCTTCATTCAAAGGAAATCGGCTGATGACTGTTAGGTCCAGCCATGCTCCGATAATTTGGACCGCGCCTGGAGTTTGGATCATCCAACTATAGAACGTTTGTGTGAAAGCAACAGTGTTTCGCACATGTTTGAGAAGGCACCTTTTGTTCTGACCCGACAGGTCAGTGTTGAATTGATTTCTCATGTTCTTTCCTGACAGATACGCTTCTTGAAGCAAACGTCGTACCATTGTTTGAAAGGCAGAGACCAACTTTAAACAATAGCAACGCGACATAACATGCCAAATTATTCTGCTGCGTATGCTCTTTTTGCAGTGCAGGAAAGGCTATCGTGAGAAGGGAGAGGGAGCCGAGAACCTTGCCAACTAAGTATGCGTGGCATGTTGGGCGCTGGAATTTACCACTCCTCAAGCAGCACAAGTCTTGAGCCATAATTTTAGCAGCAGAGGCAGTTTGTACCCTTGCAGCCCTGCAAAGCACATTTGAGTTCTGACTCCTGACACAGCCTTCCCAGACATTTTTTTGGTTAACAACCCAGAAGCTCTGCTGCGCGCTTGGTTTCTCGTGGCACAGGTCATGCTTAGCATTTGACTTGCTTGTGCCAGTACCGGCACTGCCATGTTGACACGGAGTGCTTTGCATGTTCAGCGCCTTCCATCGCTACCTGCGTCTTGTTTATGGCGGATTGAGCAAGCTAGGTATCAGTGGGAGCTTAGAAGAAGCACCTGGGAGGTGAGCTCTTTGGGTCGAGTGAAGAACCTCAGAGGCATTACACATCACGGAACCTTGACTTGCTTCGGATACAAGCGAGCTCGCATCGGGGGGAAAAGTTACATGGTGCATCGCTTGGTGGCGAGAGCCTTCTTGGGACCTCCGCCCTTTGCTGCTTACACGCAGATCAACCACATTGACGGTGACCCACACAACAATGCAGCCAACAATCTGGAATATGCCACGCCATCGCAGAACAGACAACACTGGCTGCAAACAGCTGTTGATAGAACAAGCGGCGGGCCGACGAGGCCACTTTATTGCCGGTCCAGTGCAGGTGCATGGTCATACTTTGAATCCCTCACTGAAGCAGCGCACGCGCTGGGTTTGGCCGGATCAAACATTTCCAAGTGTTGTCAAGGGCGCTTGAAGCATGTTGGTGGCTATGAGTGTCAATATGCAGAGTCTGCTTTTCTCCCTGGCGAGGAATGGCGCATAGCCCAGTATCCAGGCGTGATCCAGGCTATCTCAAATTGGATGGTCAGCAGTCACGGCCGAGTCAAGACAAGTCGTGGGCGAATCACACACGGGACTCTTACCAAGGCAGGATACTTTGCCATGTACACGGTTAGTTTGACACGATACGGCCTAAGCAGCAGGCCTTTGGTGCACCGCTTGGTTGCAGCCAGCTTTCTTGGGCAGCCGACTGCAGCAGACCTGCAGGTCAACCACCTGGACGGAAACCGAGGAAACAACCATGTTTGGAATTTGGAGTATGCGACGCCGGCACAAAACGCTCAGCATGCCAGCACCCTAAGAGCCGGTTGCAGAGTTCAAAGACCAAATGCACGCAAGCCCGTGCTGGCTCGCGAAAATGGCGGTCTTTGGATCCACTTTGAGTCTTGCAAGGCAGCGGCTGCGTATGCTGGGGTTCATGCAGCTTCAGTTTCGCAAATTTGTCATGGAAAGTTTCGACGTACAAAGAACTGGGAGTTTAAGTTTGCAGCCAGCGACGCGCTGCCTTCTGAGGAGTGGCGCCAGGTTGTGCTGGATTGGTCATGCGATCCTGAGCCAGTCCTGCAATGATCAAGGTTGGACATTTTATTCGGAGGTATGGACAAGCAGCTCGCATGTTTTGTTAATGCCATGCTACAACTGGGCTGTCAAGACGGTCTGTTGCTCCCATCAGGGGAAACGCTGAGCGTTCATGATCCACTGCAGAGGAAGACTGGCGAAGAGACAGTTACTTTGCTGCTTGCGTTTGAGAAGGATGGTCTAGGTGAAAAGATGGCCCTACTCATGTTCGCAGGAGCTTGGCAGCCTGCGTAGCATGCGTTGCAGAAGTTTGCATATTAGACTGGATTTTGTATCACACTGGGTGGTTTGCTGGTGCGCCCTTGTGTATTGCGACAGTCTCCATGTTGGAGCACAGAGTTTCCTTGGACATGTGGCCATGCATTGTACAGTGTGCTAACATTGCAACAAGCAGCTGAGAAAGCAGGCTCCGCCCAGCTTCAAAGCATTACAAGTGCCACCTGACACCACTTACAAGCGTTCGGTTGAGTCTGTGGGCTAAGCAAGGCAACTACTAGCAACAGAGGCGATTTCCAGACCATCGTCTCGTTAGATTTGCAAATCTCGGCACGACATGCTGTAGACAAGGCCTATGGCTGCTTGTTTCGAGACTTTTCGCACGTGGGGTAGATCGCTTTTGCAAAAAGTCCGATTAGGAATCGATCAGACAATTCATTGTTGCTACTGATTAGGAATCGATCGCACAATGTATCGTTGCTACAATTGATATCCTTGAGTCGAGAGGCTGATTTCGAGCTCCCGCTGTTGTGTCTTTGCTCCCGCTCAAGGTCACTTTGACCGGGATGTTCATCGACTCGGCACAGGTTTGGCGCGGAGCTCAGGCCGCTTTTTTGCGGCTTTGGGGGGCTGAGGGGAGTCAGGTGATCCAGGGTGAGGTTCATATTCAAACACTCCGAACCCCGGCAAGAGGCATCTCCGCTCCGGACTGCGTACCTTAGCAAGGCTCTACAAGACAATTGATGGGCAGGGGCTCGGGTGCTGCAGCTGTCCTTGCTGAAGCTACCCGGTGGTGTTTGATTTGGGTGTTGTCAGTGTTGTCCACTGTGACTGCTAGGGAATCACCCAAGCCTTCAATCTCACGCACCGGAATGGCTGTGGTCGCAATGGTAAGTTCATGCCACTGATGCCTTTTCAGGCCATTTTTTTTTTCGGGAATGCAGGGCGAGGCGGGGTTAGGGGACGAATCTTTTGGTGGGTGCCCTGTTAGTGGGTGGGCGTATTCTGTTTCTGGGTCGCTTTAAGGCGCAGCCATCACCTGGCGCAGCAGAAGGCTGCAGCGGGCCTTGGCTGGGTCCGAGTCATGTTGGAGCCACGTGTTGCATGCGGAGGTGGCATTTGTATTGTGTTTGCTTGCAGACATTAGCGCATTTGGAATGTTGGCGGACGAGCTGTTTGTTTGTAGGAGGTCAATTTGTAAGGGCTCATGATGTTTAAGTCACACTGGCTTGAACAGGTATCTCAGCAGGTCAGAGTGGGGTTTGTTTCAAACTGGGCAGCGCCCACCAATAGTTTAGAGGACCCCCCAAGCTGTTGATTCCTGTTTGGTTTCCCTTTGAATCAACCCCTTTTAAGGGGTACCACCAAAAAGAAGACAAGCAACTCATATTATGTAGGGTCAGATCTTGAGTCTGAGGTTCCCAAATGGTCGATTTTCCGGCACCCCTCGGATGTTTCTGGCAGGAATGGTCCGAGCCGTGTTGGTGCCTTTTTCTGCCATCCCAGAGAAGTACGCTTGATCTTATTTTTTACCAAGACATTTGGGAGGCATTAGTCGGCATTAGTTGTGACAGGATTCTGAAAAGCACTGGTGGAACCTCAAAATGGTGCATTCTGGCTAACCCAGGTGGTTGCTTGGTGTTCCCAATCTGGCGGGAGTCGAACTACTGACGTTGACCGCAGCGTCGATGCGTATCACCTGCATGGCGCCAGGCTTGGATGTCCTTCTACACCGACAAGACGGGGCCCTTCCACCGCAAAGTTGCATCTGCCCAGAACTCAGTTGCCTTGGATAGCAGGTGCTATGCCCCCTTGGGCGGCACGTCTCTGGGCGCCTTGGGCATTGTGAAAGGAAGTCGAAAGAAAATCGACTTGCGGCAGCATCCCTTACATAAAGTGCAGACAAATATGTTTCTTGGCCTGCGGGTTAGCAACCTTCATGGGTTGATGGAGTAATTAGCTGCTTTGATAATTCTAGGCCCGTGTTGCTCAGTGGCACCCTCGTCGCCGTATTTGTTCAATGTATATCCCGGTCAAGTCCTTCCAATCATCATGACCTTGTAACCTACGTCTAAATGGGACAAGCATAGACTTGAGCGCAAGTCGACAATGAGCTTTATGTAGCGGGCTCTTAACTGGGCTCTTCAGATGTGTTGTGTGTTTTTCCATTGTAGCAGGGCTCTCCACATGTGTCGTTCTTTCTAGTTGCCCACGCCATCATCCTGCACCTGAGGCCTGGCGGGATGCTCCACGGGACCATGAGGATCTGGAGGATGAAGCGGTTCAGGCGGTTCAGCGGAGATTTCTTCGCGACTGAGGTGGTTTCGCCTCACACTTGGGGCACCCGAAACATGATGACGAATGGGTGGATGATGCTGAAAAAGCGGCGAACATGACTTTGTCTCAAACTTAAGAAATGACTCAAGAAATGACAAATGGGTCCGTTTCCTTGCAGTTTCCCCAAAAGGTTGAGCCGACCTTGTTTGGGGTCAATGAATTGCGGGGCGAACCCCAAGTCTCGTCTGAAAATGTGTGAATCCTGATGTGATATTCAATATGTGAAGCACAGATGAGATGTCAGAGAATGCAACAGCGTCCAGCAAGATCAGACGGTGCAACCGACAGATATGTTGTCTCTAGAAGGCCTTCAGCATTTGCATGATTTGTAGGAAGGCTTGTTTGTAATAGAGCACATGTTTCACGTGTCACCTACACAAGCATGACAAAGCCTCCAGAAGGTACCTTGAAGGTCCCAAGTTGTAGAGTTCCAGTACCGCTCACCAGGAGACCTTTGGATCTTTAAAGCCGTCGCTGTCACTTCATTGCAGCTCAGTTCCATTGCAGCCCAAACTGGACGTGCGAGAAGGGGCGAACAGGTGGAGTGCGCCAGCCAAAGCGGCCAAAGGAGGGATCTCGTCCTGTTAAACTCAAAAGAGTCACATCCTTGCGAACCCGTTTGGCAGTTTGGAATTCGGATTGCCTCTCATGGTGGACATGGCGGACCCCTGATACATCCCCAGAAATCGATCCTCCTGATGAACAAACAGCTACAACAGAGGTCAAACAGCAGTTTCGGGTTGAAAGAGCAAGGCCCTCAATTAAACGGGATGCGCCACACTAGGGGGATACCCTCCAAACTGGCAGTTGTACTGCAGGTTCCCTTTGAAACGAACAAAGATAACGCAAATCGAGCAGGGAAAGTGGAGCTTTCCATTCAGCTTCAACCTCAAAAGGGTACCCTCACGAAATACAAAGAACAAGTGGTCCTTGTCTTTTTGTGATGGTGCCCATTTTGTGGTATTTTTAAAAAGGGGAACCAAAGGAGAAAGCTCCATGTTTAGGGGTCCCGTATTCTAAGGCACACCCACATCGCGCCATGCCGGTTTTGGGCCCGGTCGAGGTGATCACGGAGGTGGACGCTAAGTTCTGCCACGGGGCCTTCAAGCGCCGGGCTAAGCGAAGAAAGTTTGTCCGAGTCCGTCAGACCGAGTAGGCTGAGTTGAACCCTTTGAGTTGGGGTGTTTAGAGGAAAGTCCCAAGGAAGCCAACAATTTGGGGGTTCCCCGTATTTTCAGACACAGTTGTGCAGTTCCCTCTAGATCCCTTGTGGTGGGCGACCCTGAAAAAATGAAAACATGTTGATTCGTCCTTCAGGAGTTCATTAAACATGTTTCCTCCCTGGCCGGGGTCCCCACAGAACGGACCCTGAGGCTCTTCATATGCTACAACGCCGAAGATCCGCAGAACTTCTCCCCGGACTATGACAAGCAGATTACCATCAGGTGCGTCGGGTGTTGAACCCCGTGGGTGGCCAGATGACCTCTTCAGGTGGCAGGTTGAAACGGTGTTGGTGCTTCATGAGCAGCAAGACTTGCACATTTGCAACTGATAGGTGGAGCTTTAGCAAACACGTGCATGCAGAAATCGCGTGTTGCTTAGTGTCCCAGGATTGTTGGGAGGAAGACAGCCATTCAATAAATTGATCTCATCAGTCTAGAGCCTGGCTGGCCCAAATTTCAGATCAGGAGGTAGCATGACCCCACCTAGATAAGTCAGCTTGCTAACCTTGCAGCTAAACTTGTACCATCATTTGTGGGTCGCCTCTTCTTTCAGATACAGAACATTGCGTTCAGAGGACCTTTGTCTTGTAGGCTTCTTTTAGAAAGCCATCAATTTGATCAATGGAAGCTCTTGGCGCGACACAGCCAAGCAAATGCACTTTGTGTTGAAGAAGCACTGGGAGCCCAAATTGAGTACGTAGCGGCGAGAGATGTTGTCTTTGGTGCATGGAGTTATTTATGTTGCAACTGCTTGAGACTCAATATGGATTTCGATTAAAAGTATCGCGTTCTTAGCTTGAGCCAAGTCTTGATGACTTTGTTTGTCCAGACCAGGCAGGATGTACCCTTATCCACCTAAGGGCATATTCCTCCTCTTGAAGTTCACATTAGACCTCAAGTAAGAGGGGTCTCCCAAAGCTGAGTCCTCTAAACTGAGCATGCTACCCTCCTGCAAATTGACCCATGAATCCAAAGAGGAGTCTCCCGAACAGCAGTTTTCTCTGAAACTTTACTCTGGGTTTAGGTCCATGAAAATGGGTGTCTAGCCCCACCACCCTGGTAGTACGGGGGATGTCCATGCTAATTTGCAAAGCTGGAGCCAGAGTGCAAGAAGCGAATGCCGTTCCCTTTCCGCGGCGAGTCCGCGCCGCTGGTAGCCAGGTTGAAGCTCACGCCGCATCTGCCTTTGCTAGGACGCGGGTGGATCTTGCGTGGATCGGCGGTTCTTCCGTTTCACCGTTTTTCATTGCCAGACCTGGCTTACCTTTTAAACTGATGGTTGGGAGTTAAACTTGTCGGTTTTCCACTTTCCACTATTTTCACTCTCGACCAGCAAGGTGTTCCATTACTATTTCACTGTCAACCAGCAAAAAGTGCAACTTTTTTCGGGGGGTCTAAGTCTGGTCAAGATGTGTCTTTTGGTTTGATGGCTACCCCACTAAAAAGTCGTCAGCCCCAAGAAGGGTTACAATTATGTTTCTTTATCAGGGTCACTAAAGAACTGTGTAGAGACTAAAGGGGTGTTTGTACATATTTCTTACCCCTTGGGAAAATCACCCCAAAATGGCTTGCTCTAGTTCAGGCCATTTTTCTCCAATGGGGTATATAACCATGTAAAACATAGGTTGGTAATCAGGGAACCAAGGGATGTGGGTAATGGGTATATACTTCCACTGTTAGACCGGGGGGTTCCTCCTTGTACAAGCCTAGGGTACACCTGGGGCCTGTAGTTGACAAAGCCCCTCAGCAAAACCCGCACGTGTACATACTGTGGATGGACAACTCCACTCCACTTTGCACCAGTTGGGACGGAAAATACTGAGGTAAACCACCTACCAACTGGTGCGGAGTTTTTGTCAATCCACAGTATGAGATACTTGGGCTCTTTGGGAAAGCTTCCCGTTGTTCCATTTGAACACGGCAACCTCTTGGCTGCGCATAGTATATGCCACCTTGGAGCATTTGGCGACTCACCCACCCACCCACCAACCCACCCACCCACCAACCCACCAACCCACCAACCCACGCACCCACCCACCCACCCATCCACCCAGCCACCCACCCAGCCACCCACCCACCCACCCACCCAGCCACCCAGCCACCCAGCCACCCACCCACCCCCCCGACCCGCTCACCCGCCCACCCACCCAACCACCCACCCACCCACCCACCCACCCACCCACCCACCCACCCACCCACCCACACACACACACACACACACCACACGCACACATAGTCTAGCCACTTTGGCTATGGCTGCTCGAGCTGATTCCTCTAGGATGTGTCTTTGACACATGTCATTTTTGCATGTTGCCCTCTACAAGCTTTGTTCCTCAGGGGGGAATTCTATCTCGTGTTTTCAGCAATGTATGGAGGCAGGCAGAACCAGTACAGGGGCGGTTCCAGATCCGTTTTCCCTCTGCGGGTACGAGGTTTGCTTCCCCACACTTTTTGTCCCAGATCGGGGTGGCGATGGTGATCTCCTTTCGGAATGAGTAGATTTTGCATTTTGCCCAGACCCCCGATTTAGCACATATTGCGCTTATTGTTGTTTTCTCTCAGCCCCCGTATTCAACGCCCTGGGCTTCTTCCAGGACCGAAGAATCAGCTCATCAAGCTGTTCAGCCATTTTGGCGCCAGATGCCCTAGCTGCAAATGGTTTTTTGCCTTTGAGCCATCATAGTTTCGAGGCCAGAATTGGGCATTGTCCCAGCCATTCATTTCTGGGACCGCCCTTCTAGTTGTCTTTTTCTTTAGTTTGGTTTTGGGTTGTTGTTTTTGACTCATAGCTTGCATTTCAGGTGCAGTTTAGGTCAAAGTCTGTCAAGGGCTGACAAATCCTGTGAGATCCTGCTGGTACTTGTTCGTCAATGCGGAGGGAATGTGTCAACGGGCCTGTCACAAGGAATATTGTTTGCTTGTGCACTAGTTTTTGAGCTTCACTGGTGTCAACAAGGTTTGGCCACAGCTCGGATTTGTTTCGCCATGAAAGGAATTGCGGGGTCCCCAGATGGGTTCAATGCCCTCTCATCTCCCCAGATGGTTGTGATGCCCTCGAGAAACATGGCAACATGATATGCTTGAGGGTGCATGAAAGACCTAGGTGTCAATCGTCAAACACCTGTACCTAGGTGTCCTCCTAAATCACCAGCCACATCTTCCCACTCGTCCTGCCATATTAATCCCATGGTTTTGTATGTGTATGTGTGGCATTTGAGGCCGTGGCCGAGCAAGGGGACGGGCACCTGATCCACTACAAGAAGGCGCGAAGTCCGGCGAGCGGTGATCCGTTTGGTGGGGAAAAGAACCACTACCGAGGTGAGGCCAAAGCGCCCATTTAACTATTTTAGTGGGTGGGTGGTTCTACTACCCGGCTTCATAGGTTTTATAGAACAACCATGTTGGTGGAACCGAATTGTTGACCGGTTTTGTGCACGTGCTCTGCTTGATTGCCGCGACCACCCTTCTCAGGTGGAGTTGGTGGCGCTGCAAGTTCTTCAGCTGCTCAAGGCCTCGGAAAGGTTGAGGAATAGCCTCCTCCACGACTCCAACGCCGATGAGGAGACCGTCGGGCAGCAGCATCCGTGTTTGAGCATTGGTTGCAGTTGATTCTCGAAACTTGAATGTGTGTGTGTGTGTGTTGTGAATGCCTCACTATGCCTGCTCCTTTCAGGCAAAAGTGCTGGCACACCCACAAGCAACATTGGATAGGTACAGTAGTGGGTCTCTGTGTGTGTGTGTGTTGCACGCGCCTTATGTAGTGATTGTGGATGATGTTTATGAACATGATGGCATCGGCTGGCTAGTTCAGTTCGCTTTGAGGACCACTCGCCTCCACTGATGGTGCTTAGCACACGTCTTCTTCTATGTTTGCATCTTCTCATATTGTGTGTTTGCTGTTTATATCAGTGTGTGTGTTCGTGTCAAATCTGAGGAACCGTCTGATTCATTCCCGGCATGGCTAATATCATGGGCACTGATCACAATTGACTTGTGGTTCGATACTTAGAGATGCATGAGTCCAAGGCTGAGGACTTGTTGATGCATGGTCAAATGGTGGGCTTTGCAGGTTTCCTAATATCTTTTCGGAATGCTTAGGTATGCTGCATCTTGAATTGAGACGCAAAGCTGATGTTTGCAACGTAGATGTTGTTGTCCAATGCGGGATCACATTAGGGTTGTTATTTGGTGGCAGTTTGATTTCCAACAAGATTAATATGTGTGTGTGTGTGATTGTTTGTTTGTGTGTGTGTGCTTTCATCGAAGTACCCGCTGACACTGGCCAGTTGTTGTCAGGACACGCCCGGCTACACCATTTTCCACGCAGTGGTCCCGACCCAAGACTCGGGCAAACAGATTTACAGGGTTGCCTGCGGGTTCTCGGTTCTTGACGTATATTCGCTCATCTCTGCCCTCTCGCCTAGCACAAGCAACCTTTTCTTCAGCTTCCCTTTACTACCATACATCCCAAGGCGGGAGCAGAAACATAGCCAAAAGCTCTTGCCAGGGGCTAGGCGACATATCGGTGGATTGCTCTCAGAGCTTGAGGGAGAGTACCAGGCGTCTCATTCGGGCTTTCGGTTCTTGCTCTGGCGCTGAAGGTGGGAAGCCAGCTTGTTGTCCCAGATCGTGGATGTGACAATAAGTTTTGGTATGGATTAATGGTTCACAGATTTGAGCTGGCTCTTGAGTAAACGGTTCGGCTTGCTCGGCGCACAACGCTGGCCAAAGCCGAGGGCCCTTCTAACTTGACCAGCCATCCCAAGAACTGAATCAGGGTAACTTGGGACCACTCCCATCAACCCAACGGCATTCCCAAAAACAGGATGCACAATGGATGGCACCATGCCCGTAGGTACGCAAAGGGGACGTCTAAACCGAAAGGGCAGCTGAGGTGGAATTCCTGAAGTCCTTCTGCGAGTCCGAGCCCCACTACCGAGCCCTCTTCGTCAAAAAAGAAGCCACAGCCTCGGTTTGCACCGAAGGTGCGGCCATGGAGTTCCTAATATATGGGTGTGTGTGTGTGCCTTTAGGGTACGCTTTTTGGGTCTGGTTTAAAGGGAACCGAAAGAAACACCCACATTTAGTTGGGTCCCCTATTTGTTGACATGTGGCTGTAAATGTTGATTGTGAAGCTCGGAAATGCATCCCTACCTAAATGGTGTCCACCAAAGGGTCCCTTGTTAACAATCACACTGAGGTGAGAGTGTAGATGGCACAACTCCCTCGCTGTGCCTAAATGCCGTCCTCTTTACTTACCCAGATTACAGGAATTGGTGGCATTTGGGTATGTTGCATGGTTCAGAAATGAAGATTCCCTGACTGAGACCTCATGGCGCATTGCATTTGGTCAGCTTCATTCGGACTTGTCCCATTTGGGCTGGTAATATGATCTATTCGGCAAAACCTTCGCCAAATGGGTGTGTCTTTTTGTTGAGGGTACCAATTTCGATTTTTGATGGTTAAATAAATGGAAACCACGAGGAAAGCCATGATTTTGGGGGTGTCAAGACAGACCCACACAGCATTTGGACATATTTTGACCCAGGATTCATAGCTGGTTGAGTCATTGGTGCGAGTCCCATTTGAAGGGATCCCTGTTAATTCCTCGCACAACCCGCCCTTGACGGTGTAGCGTGATAACCTGCAGTATGGGAGGAGCAGGGATTGTCTAAAGATATGGAGACTGGGGCAAGCCTAAGCTTGGAATCCTGGATGATAAGACACAAAACGGTCACCATGTTTATTCTAAGTCAGTTAGGTTGAACACATACTCAAATTGGTTTCAATTTGGTTCCAATCGTGTCCAAGTGCCATCAATGTTGGTTTGTCCACAAAGACGCCTAGGGCTATGTTTTCGGCGCGGCTTGCAACCATGTCAAAAGCTTCCAATCATTTGAGGTTCCATTCCACAAAGATGACATCGTCACGGCAATTCGGAAAGCTCGCGTGAATTGTGACACTACAAGCCTGGTGTTGTCACTTGATGGATGATAACTCTGGCAAACCCGTCAAGAAATGTTGCTTCGCACTGCAGTATCCAAGAATATTGCTTCCCAGACAAATGTTTGCGTGGCATCTCACAAGACGCACATGGATGGTTGGACTGACCAAGCCCCTGAGTCCATTGAAGTGACATGCTTTAGCAGTAACATAGTGTCCTTTTAAATGGCGATTGAAATGGAACCATTTTGGGTGCCCACAACGTGGCTGTTGGTCTTCTTTCGCGACCCGCGAAGTCGGACGATCTGAGGTCTTCGAGTTTTTGGTGTCTTGCATTGCGCTGGCCGAAGAAGTCCCGGTCTCGCAGATGCTTGTGTCCGGACCTCGAAGCTGAGAGATACCTGCATGGCATCTCGTTTGTTCTTTCTGTTTGGGTGTGCTCTAGACATGTTAAGCTTGCCTAGATATGGACCGGGGGCGAAGGCTGAGGTGGATACAATACGGCCCCTTCAACCTTTTTTTTTAAGAGGGCTGGCGTGGATCGGACACTATCAATAAGATGCTTGCCAGTCAGACTTCGAACCCCCAAGTTTAGGGAGATGGTATCCTTAAAATATTTGTAAACGAAGACCAAGGCGGCAGGCACATCATTAGCTTGGGTTTCATGTGGGTTTGCTCTCATGCAACCTCAGCAAAATCTTTGGGGGCACTGAAGGGACGCCCCTTTACCGTTACCCAAGAAACACGGGCCTTCGCAGGAACCGTGCTGTTCAGTCAATGACAATGTTGTAATGAACTTAACAGCCTGGCAGGCCCTTCTCTTGGATTCTACTTTCATGATCGCCTTTGGCGCAGTGGATCGGAACCCGAGGTCAGTGTTCGCCAACAATGACATGAGAGTGAACATGCAGTTTGTGGACCAGCTCATCAAGGCACCCAGCGATAGCATCGCATGTGAGGTCATCAAGACATGTGGCATGATCTGACTGCCTGAGTTCTGGACTGTGTACTTTTTGGGCAGACCAGTTCAGAGGAAAACAACAGGTTCCGACTTGTTTAGCCGAGGAAGTCAGGAAGTGAGCTATGAATGTGGGCCTAACATGTCGCCACTTTGCTCGGTGGTGTTTGGATCGTTGTGGTGTAGATCAGGCACCTCTGAGAAATGCTCAGGTCAAAAGTGTTGCATAATTCATAATATGGACCCCAGGTACTGGTAAACAGCTGAGAACTCAGTCTGCTGGATTAGCTTATTCCGATAGAAGATGGACCCCCACAACTGGGGTAACACGAGCTCACCCATGATGAAGGTCCCCTGCTGGGAAGTCCTTTTTCCGGCTTAGGAATTGTAAGTTGCCCAGATGGTCAAAGGCTGAATGTATACGTCCATATATACCGCTATTTGTGGGTTAACTCACCTCGAGTTACGGCTTAATTATGGGAGACGTTGCCCCCAAGGGTCCAAAATGGCCATGGGCTCATATGTGGTCGCCAGCTTGGGAGTTTAGCCCTTCCCAGTGCAGTCCAGGCTTTCATATTCGTGGCAATACACGCAGAAACGCGCGCATACACTAAAACAGGCCCACAGACTGACATAAACACACACACAAGGAAAGGCCCATACAGACAGAATCTGACAGAGAGTGACAGAGACAAACAGAGAAGCAGATAATACAAGCAGACGAAGACACAAACAGAGATTCAGCTGGCAGCAATGTATTTCTACCCGAGTTTGGTGTTTGCATTTGTGGCATCATTATTTCGTCATTGGCAAAGCTCAAGGTGTCGGCTGGATAGACGCTTTGACTGGAAGTAGCATTTGCAAATGTGTGCATGTCAAAGAAATCCACGCCGCGCTTGCTCCAGCGGGCCTACAAGAACAACCCCAGACGGTTCGGGGGGGCGGGGTCATCCAAAATGGCTTGCGCGACATCACCTGACTTGCCTTCACATGATCCAAACCCCCTCTTTTAAGCGCCCTGTCTTTGCCGTTTCCCCAACATAAGAGTCTAACAAGACCCTCACAAGGCGCGATTGGGGACTGGGGGTGCCCGTATCCCACCGCTTAGAGGTAAGTTGAAGAATGTTACTTGAGCTGACCCAGATGGCTCCCTCTCTCTCTCTCTTTTGCAGGCTGTGGACGAGAACTTCTCCAAAAACAAGCAGTCCTCCCTCAACGCACTGCTCGTGCTGAAAAGCATCGTCACCACCTTCGCACCCCGGCCGCAACCAAACCACTTGCTAATTCGTTGCAACCAAAAACATAAATACGGCTGCCCCACTGTTGATAGGTGCAATTCCCACCAGGAGACAAACCATGTGCAGGTCCTAGTTGCTCGGGGGGAAGCGGCTCCTGAAGCAGCCCTGGCTATATAGGGCTAGGTCTCCCAGTAGTGCCCGTTTACCCTTTTTTTGGGGGAGGGTTCCCCTACTAAAATAGACTACAGAAAAAAGGTCACTCTCTACTGGAGGACCTAGAGGGTGTACTTCTCCGGGGTTCGGGATAAAACAAGCTCTGTGGAAACCCGGCGATGCGGCAAGAGATGGGCGACACGTTGCACCATCGGCAGCCAGACGTTCCTTTGGAAATGCTGTGGACGGACAAACTCCTGCACCACCTAAGAAGCCCTGGTTTCGAATGATTCCCCTGCAAATACCGACAAGCAGGGGGTTTCCCATGGTTTCAAAGTGCAAACGGATTTCGTCCATCAACCGTATGAAAGGGGCTAGTTTTAGCATATCTCGGTATGTTGCCACTCAGGCCAAGCGCATCAACTCCCGTGGCAATTGCATCGGAAACGGGATCTGGTTCCCCTATCCAATCGTCTATGAGGGTTAGATTAGTGAGAGAGTTGATTCTCAAGCCCTGCAACACACAACAAAAAGGACATCCATCTATCCTTTAGAATGAGGCAGCCTAACATTTGAGTGTTTTTGTTGAAAGGATCGCCTGTCACGCCCTGAGAAGGGGCTATGGTGGTACATATGTGTTGCACAGATGTAAAATATGATATCTGGGATCACGGGAGGTCTCGGCTCGGAGCAACTTTCGGGAGGCTCATTTTGAGGGAGGACTTCGGCGCAGCTATGAATCGGAGCAAATTGTACTTGCCCCTGTGTGGCACCCCCAAACAACACAACCCCAGTGAAACCCCTTGAGAAAGAAGCAATCAGACCAAAAGCTGGAGAAGATGGCGGACGTTAGACGCAGTGAGATGGACTATAGCGACCTCCCAAGTCGGGCGTTGCCACACCGTCTGCCTGGCGGATTGCCCTTGTTATAGGGAATCCTTATCTTGTGGTTGGTGAATGGATTGATTGGCCCGCATGTATGGAGGTCTTTGGAACGGAACTATGGGAGCTTTTGCGAGGAATATGCTTTTGTTCATGCGTTCTAGTCTCTTAAACCCGTACTTGACAGAGCTGTGACTCCTTGACGAAGGTGTACAGCAAGCCATTGAATTGGACATGTTTGGGTCCTGGTCATCATATCTTATTTATGACGCCACTTGCGTGTTGGGTTGTCGAGGCCGACAATGTGGAGACCCGCGACAATGGGAGCATTATTATGCGGGGAGCCCCAGTGTGCAAATCTTCAGGGACCCTCTGCCGTAGTATGTATGCGAATCGCTTTTGTGGAGTGGCATCCCTCCTACTAGTGAGCCTGGTGATTCCATCCAGCATTGTCTTGTTGTTGGATGGCTTTGCTGGTGTACGCCGTGTACGCCAGCCTGGAATTGTTGGCAACGTCCATGTTTCATTGCAGCACGTTCCGCATCTCCACGCAAGTCGGTCTGTTGTTTAGACTTGCGAGGTGTATTTGATGTGGTCACGAGTGCAACATCAGCCAATTTGGATGTTTGCTGACCTGGGGACTTGCCTTGACGTGCACGTTGTGGGTGTCTCAATCGACTCTTGGGGGCGCGTGGTCCCTCGCGAACTCAGGCGTGTTGAGGCATTGGAGAACGTTCGACCGAGCATCTTTTGTTGGTCCTGGATTTCGTTATTTGGCCTGTTCTCCTATGGCTTGTTGGAGTGCACATGAATGTACATGCACTGCACATGGATATGCATGGAATGGAGGGATGCAAGTGAGCAAGCATTCGGCAGTCGCTGACATAAGTTGACCGGTGTCTAGCACTCTGTCCTATTTTGCAGGCAAGGTCAATCTGTGGTGAAGTGACGTGTTTATTGGCATTGCAACCCTGAACGTGCTTTTGCTCTCGTTTTATCACGTGGCCGTGTGGCAGGGATGTACTTTCAGGTCACATGTCATTGTGCAGGCAGGTGTGTGTTCAAGCACCATTTCCGCACTGTGAAGTGGCTATCCAGTGCCAAGTTTGCATGGACCTAGCAGATTTCAACATGTGAATGATGGTCATTGGTGAAACACACAGAGCAAGCTACCCCGGGGGTACTCATGTGGTGACACTCACAATGGACCTGCCAGGGACAGACTGATTTTCAGGGTGGGGCCAAGAAGAAAATTGGGAGGTTTCAAATCGCCAATTCAAGAGCTGGACGTTTGCGGGTTCTGCATCCTTGCCAGACATATTTTACAGGATGTAAGTCAGCTACCAATTACCGAAATTTTGGCTTGCGTCCTGAATGTGTTTTTTGTGTCTAGTTCTTGGGCGGAGGGTGGTGCCGGACGATGTTCTTCCCATTGGTGGTGGGTTCGTTGCGGCAGAGGTGTAGTCCGATTGCGACTGAGGCGGCGGTTTATGGAGAACAACACGGAGAAGCGCATTGAGAACCCTTACCTCCCCATGGCATTTGAGGCGTGCCACCTGTATACATGTCACCTTTTCTAGGATCTCTTTTGACATTACTTTACCTTGTAGGGTTCACTATTCTTGCTGAACAGGGACCAGAATCAACAACATGTTGGGTCAACATGTTGGAGGTTTGCCAACGGCTTTTCTCAAGCGATGTTCAAGTCAGTGTGCAACGTAGCAGGCGGGACAATATATTACAACATATTCATGCTGCAGCCGAGCCGCAAAAACATCGAAGAACCACACATGTTGTTGCGATACACAGAAGCAGGTCTTGGGAGGGACAACCACCGGGGTAGGCGTGTTGTTCCTGAACTTTGTTGAAACTGATTTGCATATGTGTTAAACAACAAGAAAGACAACAACAGGGCAGTATGAGTATGTTTGAAAAGCGGGAATTGTTGTTCATGTTTGTTCGTCTCAACAGGCTATGGGTTCCGAGGGAAGCTCGGGTACTTGTTGGATAGCCAGGGTGTGTCTCAAAACCGAGACCCGAGTTCGGATTGTTTACAAGGAAGCCACAAGACTCCCCCCTTATTTTTCTGAGCGTTCCCTATTTTCAGACACATCCATTTTTGTTTGCACATTTTTGCAAATTGCAGCGAGTTGACCAGGAGGAAAGACGAGCCTCATGACGAAGGCCCTTTACTACGGGTTCACTTGTTCCATTCTGGACTTGTAGCAATTTGGCCAGGTACACGCAGCTACAACATGCTGTGAATACATATTGAATCAACGGCTTGGACAAAGGTAAACCTAGTATGACTCGGGAAGCTGACCTCTTTAGACGAAGCACATCACTTGCCGCCACAAGCCCTGCGCTCGCTGCAATGAAAGATCCTTGGCGGTAAGCAATCTGCGGAAGGGGATGCAGGATGAGTTAGACAAAATATGCCGAAATGCAACCTTGAATTGTTTGCCCAATGTATGGCGAGCTCACTTCGGGGGAGGAATGAGCTTAGTTCCGTATTTGGGGGATCCCTGAATTCAGGCTCGTGATATATTCGGGAATCTGCATACTGCAATGATAGATGAGCTGAATATTGCGCTTCCGCAGCCGGCCATTAGCAGCAGTGATCCCATCGCATCCCCCTCCCATTCAGGCGTTCCGTGATGCGGTGGAGTTCATGCTTGCAGACAATGAGCACATCAACGACCACATCAGGAACATGGCCATCCAGCAGAAGGCCTGGTTTTGGAAACCGGAAACCAGCATCCAAGCAGCCTGGAGAGGAGTCGCAAGAGAATCACCACCCCCTTCATGACCGAAAAGGAGCTGGGGGGGGGTGCCCCCAAGTAACAGTTATCTGAAATTATTGAACATGTAACTTGGCTGCTGTTACATACTGTCATATTGTCAAAGTTAGCGTGGGCTGCGACACGTTGGGGTCGGCAGCTTGCATTGTTGATAGGACATTTTGGAAGGCCGTCAGGGAATGGAAGGAGCCGAGGGGGAGAAAAGAGCGCGGAGAAGCGTGCGCCTTCGAACATGCACACTACGTGTTCAGACGTCCGCCCTCTTTAGGCTGGGGATACAAGAGATACAGTTGCTTGGAGCACCAGCTGCGCAGCTGCGCTGTCGGCCTTTTGAACACAAGCGTACATGGAAATCGACAAAAGGCAGGTAGCAACAGTAGTTGGATTTTTTTGATGCTACCTGTGTTTGGCAGTTTGAAAGGAAGCCCAGAAGGACGATTCCACGATTTGCTTTGCGGGGGGCCATTTTGAGACCCGTTTGCTTGGTGGTTTCAAAGGGAGACAGAAGAACAGGCGGCTTTTTTGGGGTTTAAAAGGAGACAGAAGGACAGACACTATTGATTTGTGGTGCTCCCCTATTTCAAGATACCGCCATTTCACCCTGGCACATCCGCAGGCGAAGCAAAGTCGGGCGCTGAGATGATGGGTTCGCGTTGGCGTTTGAGCAATCGAGACGGCTATTCACTAGCAGGTTCTTCTTTTAGTGCTTTAAATTCGAACCAAAAGGATTCACCACAACAGGATTCTTGAAATGTCGGTGAGATGTTTGCGGCAGAGAACCACCATCAACCGGCTTCAATACTTTTCGCCACAAATGAAAAACCACTGGGGATGGACAACATCCTGCACCACTTTGGCGCCACTTTGAATCCATGGTTCACCATTGTTTGTTGGTATTTACGGGGGAATCATCATCCCAGGGTTTCTCAGGTGGCGCATAAATTCGTCCATCCTAGAGAGCCTCCCGAACGGTTGATTTTAGTTCAATTTGAAAGTTGATTCCCACCCCCGCCGCCCCGGCCGCCCAACAGAGCCAAGCTGTGTGACACATTTCCACATCCCATGGATTTCAGCTGGCTCCTGCTGAGGCGATACCATGCCAGGCCGCACGGCAGCATGCCATCCGATTTGCATGCCCAGCTTTGGATATGTCGGTGTATGCGTGTCCGTGTCCTTGTCCGTGCTAGTGTTTCTGGTTGTGTTCGTGTTAATTAGTGTTTGTGTTTGTGTTTGTGTGTTTGTTTTTGAGGGTCTCCATTTTAAAGTTTGGTTTCACTGGAAAGGAACATGAGCTCTCTTTTTTTGAGTGGTGCCCCTCTTTGTGACACGCAACCTGTATGG